TTAAATTGCTCCTCGTTTATGGAATAGCCTCCTGCTGCACATTAGGGAGGCTCCTTCACTTCCAAATTTTAAAACACGACTCAAAACTTACTTTTATTCACCGTCTTTTAACACTGGCAGTAGTTGTTGTGACCTTGTTTAATTTGCTTAAACAACTTATTCTTTTCTTTCTTTATATTCCTATGCTGTTTTTTGTTCTTTTATTGTATTTTATTATTTTTAGCCATGTTCAGCACTTTGTTTTCAGCTGTAGCTTTTAAAGCACTCTGTAAATAAAGTTAATGATTTGTCGTCCATCAGTATTCAGTTTAATCATCCTTCCTTCCATCCAGAAGTGACAGATTCTAGAAACACTGCTGGTTTACATCTGTGTTTAGATCTAAATATAATATACAGCTGATATAGAAATACTCTACATTGATAAAAGAACAACCTTCCTACTTTCATGACCTCTGCTGAGTCTTAAAATAGTGCACACTGCCATCTTGTGGTGAGATTAGAGTATAGACAATAAAAGAGGAAAATCCTTTATTTATTTAATCACAACTTTTAATTTTAGAAATCAGTTTTGTTGTCACATATTTATCATCTGGCACTTATAAACCACACAGACACACCTAAATGAATCAGGGCTGGAGTGGGGAACACAGTGAGCAGGTCCACAGGGGGAGATGATCAGTCCTGGAATGAGACATAAATATTACTGGAGGAGAATCGAAGGCCAGAAAATGAAAGCTGTATATCTGAAACATTATTGATAAAGACGGGTTAGGTTGGATCCACAACTGACAGAAAATGTCCCTTAGAGTGGTTACTTCCACCTTCTCCCCCTACTGATTGGTGGTTAGTCAAAAGAAAAGTATCATCAAGTATCAGAGTTATTGACTGTGAAAATTGTAGATTCACACTGAAGGCATCAAAACTATGAATTAACACGTGGAATTATATACTTAACAAAAAAAGAGTGAAACAACTCAAAATCAGTCTTATATTCTAGGTGCTTCAAAGTAGCCACCTTTTGTTTCGCCTTCGCACACTCTTTGCATTCTCTTTATGAGCTTCTAGAGGTCGTCACCCGACATGGTTTCCACTTCACAGGTGTCCCCTGTCAGGTTTAATAAGGGGGATTTCTTGCCTTATAAAAGGGGTTGGGGCCCTCAGTTGTGTTGTGCAGAAGTCAGGTGGATACACAGTTGATAGTCCAACTGAATAGACTGTTAGAATTTGTATTATGGCAAGAAAAAAAACTGCTAAGTATAGAAAAACTAGCGGCCATCATTACTTTAAGAAATGAAGGTCAGTTAGTCCGAAAATTTGGCAAAACTTTGAAAGTGTCCCCAAGTGCAGTTGCAAAAAAGAAACTGGCTGACATGAGGACCACCACAGGAAAGGAAATGGTAAATGGCATGTACTTACACTCACCGACCACTTTATTAGGTACACCTGTCCAACTGCTTGTTAACACTTAATTTCTAAGCAGCCAATCACATGGCGGCAACTCAGTGCATTTAGGCATGTAGACATGGTCAAGACA